CGGGGCTCGAATAATTTACGCGTCGATCAGTAAATCTCGCATAATTGCCCTACGATTTGCCGGCGACTTCGATAATTGCCGTTGCAAGCGATAGAGGCCGAGCGAGAGGTTTCTCGAGCGTTATCGATAAATCACGACGGCAGAATATATCCAGTCCGTAAACTTCCTCCCGTATCGAAGCACCGTTAGAAACGCTCCGATTGGTCGACACGACGTGGCTTCCTCTTCTCCAAGCCTTCGTAGCCTCGCGACCTTGAGTCTAGGAAACGTTCGCACACCATCACCCTCTTCGGGTTCCGCTTCACTCCTTCCCTCGTCTACTTCTGAAGTCTTGAATTAGATCCGTCTAGAGCGGCCGCGACTTCCGCCAACGTCACGTCGCCGTCGTATAGAATGCCACGGCACTTGCCCGCTGACGAACTGGTTATAAGGTGACGAACAAAACGAGAAAAGACAAATGGTGTCTCGCTTCTTTTAAATCTCGATGAAACCTAAACGCCTGCTCTACTTAAGCTATCGATTAATCCTTCCAGCTGTCGCTTCAGTGTTCTTAATTATGTAATAAGTCGGTGTGTTTGGACTTACATGAAATTAGAACTGACCATTCGACCATTGATCCTCGCAAGCTCTAGTATTCGAGATGTCGGTTTTTCATCGTAAATCTTTTTTGTGTTTTTGTATAACACTTTGTGTCATGTCAACTTTCGTATATCTTCAAAACTGTCATAGAACAAAAAAGATGTTATAGAGAAAACTATTCTTTAAAGAATCTGATTCAATCATGTAACGTTATTAAATCCATAAACTTATGTCATTAAATTAAAATACGGCTTATTGTCTCGGAACTTAAAATGGAACAAGCACAGAATATGAGAGTGATTCTACTCAATGACAGCTAATTTTGATAATGAAAAGCAGCGGTCATTGTCCGATTTCTGCCATTGAACTTCACTAATATCTTGTTTATGTATTATTCAGGATCTGTCACTTTCTTCCTCTCGCTGATCTCTCGAGATCTCTTGACAGAACGCGTGCGGGAGGAGAACGCCGTTTCCCAGACGTGCTAAACTGGACAGTAATAAATTCGGCAGAAACTCCGGACGACGCTAATCCGTGTGCGGATCGTGTGAACAGATTTGTTTGAGATCACTTTCGAAATAGTATGCGAATTATGGTGCAACGGAATGTGGAGTAAGCGATTAGCATTTTCGCTTGCGATATATTTTTGATTACGCAATAAATATGAATCAGCGAACGGTACTTTTCGAGAATGTGAATGAATTATTTCGAAATCTTTATTTGAAATGTCAGAGATTATTATCTTGAGTTAATGGAACATTGTATAGATTAATTAGGAAATTATTTAAAAGAGGAGAGGAAAGAAGGATCGAAAATCTATACATCTGTAGTTAATTAGGACTATTTTTATATGGCTACATATATTATGCTTTCATTTTTTCGTATATTTACATCACGATTTAATCTCTTTGTTTCTTTTTAAGTTATATTAAAAAATCGAAACGTAACTGACGTTTGTTTTAACTCATTTCTATTGATAAATTAATTTATTGTGTATATGAATGGTTAATTCGTTAATTGAAGATCTTCATCTCGAACGGTTGTTCGATCGTTTGTTTGTCGACACGTCGCATTCGATTTCTTAATCCACTGAACATAAAACAATTCATCCGACAAGTGCTTGATGAATGAAAGCTAATGAAGGTTGCGAACGTAGCTATTCAAGATATCTCGGACGTATACTAGAACCTTGGGAACCTGTTCCATCGGGCGCATCGCGCATCTAACGGATTGCCAGGCACGCTGGTTGCTATTCTTGATAAATTATCTTACTTCCATCGATATTGATCCGATACTTTGCGATTTTGCGCAAGAAATTTAATTAGTATTTTACCAGGTTGATCGATATCTACACGGCAACGTGTTAATTTAACCATAAAAGTCGTGAATTTCCCTACGCGCGCGATAATGATAGTCATTGGCCTCCGAGCGATTTAAATGCCTTGATACGATTGCCACTTGTGGCTCTAAATTTCAAATGTCTTGCGTCATTGACAAGATAATGTTGATACGCGTGTAAAGCTATCTTTTTCAGATCGCAAAACGATCGATAGAATCGACCGATAATTGTACGGATTTCTAAACGGTAAGAGCCGATGTAATTGAGCCAATCAATAATTTCGCTACAGACGGAAAAAATGTCGTTTGGTGCGTTAAGTAATTTAAGGGACCAAACGTCTTGGTTGCGAGATTCGGTTGCGAGGTAGAACCTGTTAGCACGTGTCTGACTTCGAGTAGAATTAGACCTTACACAAATACTTCAACTGTTCCTTCGCTTTGCTTCGCCATTATGTAAGCGAATCACGAAGTACGGATGGAACTTCGTTTGGTAACCGTGTGCGATTAACGAAGCAGAAAAGTGATTGAAGGCACTATTGAGCCTCTAGGCACGTACTTCATATACGTACTGGATTCTCCTTGAATTAAGGAAGGCGGATATATATATCATTGCCAAAGCACGGATACATTTTCGCGGAAATGTGGGAATGTCAATGAGAAAAAGCTACTAACGGATTATCGGCAAATGCATTCGATGCAGACGCCTTTGGAATACTATTAATTTATCTTTGTCTTTGATGTAGATATCATAAACCGATGAAAAAAGTTTTCTCCGAGATTTTATTAATGAGAGCAAACATAATTTAGCTATAATTACTAGGGCATTGAAAATACATTTCTATTTTTCTTTAATTTTATAATTTGACTTTTATGTTTCCTTCATTTTTGCTTATGCAAAACGCAAGACGTATTTATTATTGGCTGACAGCGGACTATTTTTGAATTATGCATAATTGAATCGTTCGTTGACACTCTTGTCGTTAATCGATCTTGCTAATATCTTTCAAACCTCTAAAATCTTCCGGTTTTTACGTTTGACACTTTCAAGGAGACTTAATGAGTTTCGAACATTCAGCAGCTCTTTCATCGGTAGCCGGTCACTGTCCTCGAGAACTTTGCTAATATTTCGCACGCTGTATTTCTCTTCGACGTTTCATCACTGTAGAAACGATGTATGAGGTTTCTGATCGAAGCTCATTCATGCTGGTGAGCGAAGTGGAACGAAGGTTAGACATTTACCTCAATCTTTGTTGGTTACGCGGTTCAAGTGTGTTTCAATAGCGTGACGCAATACTTATAGATTTAGCGTGTTTCAGAAGAAAACATCATCTGTTTAATATAATAAATGCGTTGTAAAATGTGCGTTATAGATTGCAGATGGAAAGTTTTCTTTGGCGTTTGACTCGAAACGGTATGATGTTCTTTGCGTGAGGGACATTCTGATTACTCCCAATGACTTCGGACTTACATGTATACCTGCTCTTTATTGGACATCACCGTCAACTCATAAATTCACTTGTAAATGCAAATTTTGACAAACGCTCCAACGAAAAAATGCCGACAGCGAATTCTCGAATTCGAATTATTGAGATGATTATAATAGTGATAATCAGTTTTATTATCTTTATAACTGTGTACATTTTACACTGCGTTAACAAAAATATGTAACGTGTGATTTATGTGAGAAAATTTCTCTCTCTCTCTCTCTCTCTCTCTCTCTCTCGTAACTTAAAAAAACTGCATCCAATTATACTCGTTCAATATATACGTCGAAAGGTTTTAATAATTTAATACCTATGTGTTTAAAAAAGAATGGAACAATAAACACATGATTTTCTGTTACTTATCTATTACTGTTCACGAAAAAAATAATGGCTTTTATAAAACTTATGAGAACTCTTGAGCGACGTCGTCGCTCCCCCCCTTTGTCATGGGGATATTCAAGCATCAAATTCTAGATCATAAATTGAACGCTGATAAGAAATTGTGTTAATTTGTTAATTCTCATTACACCGATGGCGAAAATTTTTTATAGATGAAGGACTCGATAAACGTTTCGCTTTTCAACTTTCGTAATATTCGACTCGGACACGGTTTCGTGCTGGCGATTTTGCTGGCTGCAATCGTATCTGCGTTATATTCGCCGCGTTTATCCCTGGCCGCAAACCACACAAGCGGTGCAATTAACGGAATCATTCGATATCGCATTATTTCTATTCATTCATTATTTATCAGTCGTTACTTATGTATTTCTTTCGCGCCGGTCTCTGTCTCGCCGGTCCCTCGTTATTTCACATTTAATTACGGCGATTCTCTCCCGGCCCGCAGGTGTACAAAAGCCTGGACATCGTTACCGCGAAGGTGACCCCGGCGGAAAGAAAGGCGGCGCCGCATCACATGCTGGACATCGTGGATCCGCTGACCAACTTCTCCGTAATCGACTTCAGGGACATGGCCCTGCCGATCGTAATCGTCACATCTCGTTTTCTTTTTCCGCGCTAACGGAGATTGCCGACGTTTAATGTGACAGCTATAATTACGCGACATTAAAGACTATATCATCGTTATAATCTCTTAAGAACTTGCGGATTATATCTTCTGATAAACTAGCGAAATATTTCGTAATTTGCGATAATAATGATTACCATAACAAGTTACATGCATAAATAATGCGATTTCTAGTGATTTATTTTTGCATCGCGTTTTGGATCTAATCTAATCAAACAAGGATTAGTTCATAACAGCTTAATTATAATGTTCTCTAAAAATTAAAAGAATGTTAAAAGAATACCGTGAACTGAAACTATCGTGAGTAGATAAAATCATCAGCTGGGCAAGTCATCTTTCTCAGGGCGTGTTAATGAAAAACGTACAAAGAAATGTTCAATGAATCACAGATGTCGAAAGTGATATTTTTTTTCTTCTGTTTCCCTTTCTGGTCGGCACGAGACGCTTATTGTTGTGTGTTAAGGTTTATAATTACGCGCCGGTTGGATATCTCGCGTGCGGTGAAACCATCACGACGGGTTCACAGCTCGCGAAATCGACTTCGTAAAATAAAGATCTTCGGACGAAGCCAATTGGAACGCCCTTGATCCTCGCGAAGACCTTGATACGATCATTAGCCACGGTCTCCCGCGCGGATCTCTCGCTCGGTCCTGTTCTCGTCTACGCTCTACACTCCGACCGTTCCTTTTCCTATCGATGTAGATAGACAACCTGCTGGCCAGAAGGAAACTGCCGATCGTCGTCGGTGGTACGAACTATTACATAGAATCACTGCTATGGGAGATCCTTATAACTGATCCGAAAGAACCGTCGGTCCAAGACGATTCAAGCGCGACCAATCCGAGCGCGTCGATCGAGAACAGATCGGACGATCGATATAATGTGCAAGTTGATCGGCTGAATGACGGCGACGATGACGATGATGAGACGGCGCCGAAGAGGTTGAAATTCGACGCGAGAATCTACGACGGCAGCAACGAGGAGCTTCACCGAAGACTGATGGAGGTCGATCCGGAGATGGCGTGCAAATTGCATCCCAACAACAGGCGGAAAGTCATAAGGTAAGATGCAAATTTGCGATCGTTGATACGCGAATGCTGATTGCTGTTGTTTAGACGAATACGCGCGCAGTGTAAATAAATTTATATATATATCATTGCAATGCGAGCGCGACATTTTTAATTACATTGAATATCAAATTAATTATAATCACGCGATTCCTAATGTGGAAAGTCATACATTTTACATTATAGCATTCTATAAACAGTTCGAAATCTGCATCATTCTTTTGACGGACGATGACATTCTACCTTAAGCCTAAAATTATATAACTAAGTATTTAAAACAGGATATATATATCGATGAATATCTGAAACGGAATTGATTACGAGTTTGCATCGTATAATTTTTGAATAATAAATATTATTTATATCATAATGTTATTTATATCATAGCGTGCATAAATGTCAAATTTCACTCGTATTCGTGACACCGAACAGTTAATTTACGATTAGTGTTTTACTGAAACGCGCTATGCGGCAAACTCCATCAGTGTTATTTGATATCCGGCAATCGTAATGTCACTTGTCGTATTACGTTTAATATTAAAAGAAACGGTCATTAATCAATCGGTCGGTATCCCTGGCATGAATATAGGTGTTAATTTAATTTGTTGAATTCATTAACATTTTCCACTTGCTTATCGTGCAAATAAGTCTCAAGGCGACGATCGTAAAGTCTTGAAAACGTTCCGAACTTATGAAATCCTGCTTCCTCATCGCGACTAATAAACTTTTGACCTATTTTCGGTGAGAGAATTAAGATACAGTTACACATCGTTTTTGCTCGAAATATATACATATATATATATATATATGCGTTGAATAATATGATAAATCGTGAAACTTTTACGAAGTACTCTCAGGTGCTACGGTCCGTGATGTTAGGAAAGTCTGTTCGAGAGATTGATAAAAATTCGGAAAGTAAGAGATAATGAAGAGTTAACAGCTGAATCGACCTTGCCTTTATGGCTGCCTCGTCGAATGTCTAATAGAGTTTTGAGTTTTCGTAGCTTAAGTTTTCTCTTACTAATTAGTAAGCGTTTTCTACTCAAAACTTTAATGCGGCACTTATAATTTGTTCGACGTTATCTGAATGAAATGTTCAGGGAAACGTTAAATGAAATTCCGTTCTATTTTTGGCGATTCCCGTATCGAATTGTCGGAATAGACTGGACTGAAAAAATGGCTTTGATACATGTATATGTATACATATATACAATAAGCGAGGCTGTGAAATAGCTAATGCCGCATGCTATTGTTCTCATAATTGAATAATTAATTAGATGGCTGATACGCCATGCAATGATGTTGTACATAACTTGAGTTTTACTATTCGCTAGCACTAACTTATGGTAATATGTTGATAACAAAAATTTCGTAGTATTTTCGTAGTATATTTAAAGTGTACATGTTTATTGTATAAACGAGATGCTTTCCTTATGTAAAGATCAGTTTGTGAAATTTAAAAGGACATCCTGGACATTCCAAGCACATTAAAAAAATAATTGAATTGTTTTTGTATCGACAGTGATAATCAGAATATTTCCCGAAATATTATTTTTTTTTTTAATCTTGGAAAAAGTAATAAGTAATCCAACGGTATCCAATTACCGGTGGAGAAAATTAAAAAAATTAAATGATAAAAATTAAAATTTTATATAAATGGAAATATTTTGCAAACTTACTCTAATTATCAATGTACTGCTTCGATAAATTCCGATTAACTGATAATCAATCAACCTACTTTGATAGGATAATTTTTATCATTTAGATCTCTCTTCTCCTTCTCTTTCCTACAAAATTTTGATTTATTCCCATTTATGTATGCCATCATCAGATAACGTCAATCATAGAAATGAAACGGATAATGTATCAAATTGTCTCGACTTCAACGTTTCATCCATCGCACCGCAGAGAGCTTAGGACATTATCTTGGTTAAGCAATCGACTGATAGCACGCATCGGCAAAATGTAAACGTGTCTCAACTGTAATCGTAAGTTAGTGTAGAGTCATTTATGAAATCTCTTCAATCACTCATCGTATACGTAATACAATATAGATAAGAATCGATGCATGTGCTGAAGAGAGAAAATAATCAGGAAATATTCGGTTCAAGTAGCGAACTTTTTATTATAATCTTATCTATTAATTTAATAAGATCAGCTTATATATTGTGTGCGATAAAGAGAAAGGGAATTTCTTTTAGTGTCATATATTATATAACACTTAAAGAGATACTGGAATTTAATTTCTTTTATTTTATTTAAAATATAATTTGAAATTACAATTCTTCTAATTTATTTGGGATTTTATTTAAAGTTTCTTATTGATTTTTTTAGGTTGCTTATCCGGAATTTAATTAAAAATTCTAATACCTACTTTTTAATTTTGGTTTAAAATTTATATTAAAATTATATTCTTCCCAAATTTAGAATTGAATTTTCCAGCTTACAATTGTAATTGCTTCAGTTTATTTGGAGTTAAAATTATTTTGAAATTATTATAGAATTATAACTTACTTTACCTGTGTGTTCAGTAGTAGGTTTAATTTAGACATTGTGAACAAAATATATCATGAATGCCATAATTATGAATGTAGTCTGATATGCAGAATATATTTTGCACACGATCACGTTTCTCATTCGAAACGTACATGAATTCGATGGAAAGAGTCCCAGTTCTCGCTGGAATTCGCCGTAGGTCCACCTGTTACTTTGCCGGAGTTTTTCGCAGAATCGCGGACGCTACATAAAGCTACGTTCACAATTCCAGCGATTTGCGGTTGCGTGCATCGATACAACGCGATGTGAATCCTAGAGTCTTCGCGAACCCACGTGTATCTACGCGATTGTCATTAATCAAACCAAGCAATTCTTTTTCCGTATAACCCGCCACGATAATTGAAACTATTTCATGTATCCCTCATGCTTGTGATTAATTATGATTAACGGTTTCTTGCGTACCACGCTGCGACTAACATCATCAATGAATGTCAAGGCGGTGGAGTGATGCATTTTCCTGCAGTCTCTCTGACCTGACTTTAGCTTCCGTAAGATTTGCGTGTCCAGCTCCCGCAGATCGTTCACAATCGTCGAGTTTCCTCGGCATGAATGCGACGTCGCCGTGCAAAATGATCGACAATGGCCAATTAGGGCAGGGTATAAGGCGGGGCAGAGCAAAGCAGAGCAGGCACGTCTTTTGGACAACTGTTACGCTTTCACAATATGGCCACCAACGCCAGCTGTACCTCGGAAGCAACCTTTTTCTTCCGCGATAGCTATCCCCGCGCACTTTCGTCTCATACGTGAAAAGACGTCGAACTCTATAGAATATTTTGTATCGGGTTGGGCTAGGTCGGGCAAGGACCACGCGTTGCCAGCTGTCGTACCTTTTTTTTCTTTATCCAGTCACCTTGCTCGACATAGACGTTTTAAATTGTGTTTACTCGCTGCGCTTTCCGAGCATATAGTAACAAGTGTTTACTTAGCCTAGCTTTCAGCCGTCACTTCTTTACATATGATCAATCGCGTCGTGTACTGATTTTATGATTGGATTTTATTATTGAGTAATATGATCTTCGTGCAGACTCCACCGTCAATCTTTATAATGTCATTCGTCATTCCACTTTTCCTTAAGGTTTTTTCGTGTCGGCAATGCAGCACTTCTCTCAATAGGTGTCTTCGAATCTGCAAATATTTTCCACTGCGTTTCAAGGCTTCTAATCTTGACATAATGCACTCAACTCAATATACCTATCTCGAGAATCCTTGAGGTAAAGTTTCAAGAGAATCTCATTCGCGTTCGCACATGATAATGATTTAAATCGTGTCAGGTTGACATAGCACGCATACGCATGTCATCGTATACGCTCCGTGCTTGGCACGCACAATACCGATGTCGATAAAACGTGCCCTTCCCATGAACACGAGGAACACCGGGTGTTTTCGTTCCTTTCTTCGACTTCTGCGACACGCCGATAATATTGTCTTCTTCGCTGTGTTGCGTAAACACACACGTGAATCACGTGGAGCGACTTGAGCTACGATTACTCGTTTTATCAAGCGTAAAAATTGCGAGCTATTGATATCGCGTGACAGGAATTTCGCGTGTGCCAGAGTCTCCTATTCCTTTCTTCTGGTCGAGTATTTTTGGCGCTTGCAATCGATCTTCTCTTATCGCAGATGTTAAAACGTTAACAATGTAGAAATTATACTTGTTGAAAATATATAGGATTTCTATCTGTAGCAGGAGAATTTTTAAATTATTATTTGGAAGTAATTGTAAATGATGAAACGTGAATTGATAAATGGGCAGGGACTACAGCAATTCAATACATTTGATAATGAGATAAATAAAAAGTTTTAAATACTAAATTATACATTTCTTAAATAATATTTTAATTGCAATTTTAATGGAACTCAATTTTTTTTAGAAAAACGAGAGAAATGTACATTTTTCTTTCTTATATTAACTATAATTGCCGCAGACAGAAAAGAAGTGACTGAATTAACAGTGCAGCCCGTAAATTGATATAGAACATTCCTAACATTGTACCTAAGCGTTCGGTTAGCGCGCTGTTCCCCCGACTTCTCCCCCTTAAATTCACCACCTTCCACAAAGTATCGATAACAGTACCCTTCTGTTTGTAACACCGTAGAAAGCGTTTCAATGTTACGCACTTCGAGGACACAGGCTTTCCTCATAAATCACAGGACAGTCGGGCGAAGTTGCGGTTACAAACCGAGTACGGATAGGAAGAGAGAATTTTCGCGAAGTAAAAGCTGTAAATCAGGCTTAATTTAGCAGGCGTATGGTCGGCACGGTTTCTCTGATCCGCATATACCAAGCCACGAAACCGCCGCCAAAGACTTTTCATAAGCTTGGTGGCGTAATTTAGTATCTCGTATGTTTCTATTATAAATATCTTTTTGTATTACATAATTACACAAAATAGTTGCAGAAATAAGTGAACGGTATTTATAGAAAGGAGATTAATCGG